TTTCATCAAAATCGGTTGCGAGGTTTAAGCGGGAAAGCGTAACAGACAGACAGACAGACAGACAGACAGACAGACAGACAGACAGACAGACAGACAGACAGACAGACAGACAGACAGACAGACAGACAGACAGACAGAGTTACTTTCGCATTTATAATATTAGTTGGGATTATATTTTCAGATATAATGGGCAGATACTTACTTATCTCAAATGATTAAACTAAAATATGAACTACATTTCGTTTGCGCAATTTGCTAGTTCATGCTTTCCGAGAATTCGTCCGGCAAATAGTTCTCCAAATCCTTTCCTCAACCACTCGCCTAACCACTTGCTCGAAAATCTTCCAACTTTTTAACGATTCGGAAAAAGTCGCAAAAGAACCGCCATTAGTGCTACTTCCCTCTGACCCCTCACATTAGAAAAGGACGTGTGTACATTAACGGGCAGCCCGGAGTACACTGGACTGCTTTTAGTGGAAGAGGATTAGAAACACGCCGGCGCTGCGTAGTGCCACTACAATGGCACTTTTTTCTCTTTTATTGTGGATTTGGACGCGTGAGGCAGAATAAATATGGGGCCCAAACAGCGCCCCTGACGGGTGAAACGAAAAACATCAGCTTTGATAACATTTTTATCGCATCTATTTTTAAAGTTATGAAAACTGCATATTATATCGGGGTTGTTTGAGTGCTTGTAAATATTTAATACCTACCACTTGCAGATAAATTTACTTCAAAAACCTTTTAAAAAATAAAAAGGTTTTTCTAGAAGATGGGAAACTACCACCGTTTTCATTTATGTATCGTATTTATAACACAAAGCATATCTACGCATGAAAAACTAAACAGCACGAATTTTTGCATTTATTATTACTTATGCCAGTAAAGAGGTGTCACGAAGTCTAAAATTTTTTAATTTCTAACGAATAATTTTTAATTTTGTGTAAACGAACAGTTTTACAATAAGCAAAGATTATTAAGAGGTTTGTTCGATTGTATATTTTTATGAAAAAAATATACAATCGAACAAACCTCTCCCTTTTCGAAGTCAGTTAACAATGGCGCTTAGCCCGTTCTGTCAACTTTAGGGACATAAATTAACATATTGAAAACTCAGAAATTAAACAGGTTTCGGAGCCATTAAAATACATATAAAGAGTGCAGATAACTTCAAAATTTTTCATATACTCTTCGACTATTGACATAATTTAAGGCCATTTTTCTCACCCGTCGAATCGGGCCCGCCCAAAGCGGGCACCTTGCCAACCGCTCCAGTTCTGGATTAGGTTAACCGTTTCTGGTCTGGTAATGTGGTTACCAGAATCATGATCATAGAGTACAGTGCTAGGAATCACCGGTTATAATGTCGGAGATATGGTGGAAAAGAAATAATCATATCAAGTAAGATGAAAAGTATTTGCAAGTCATGAAAAGTGGGCGTTCTATTTCGGGTGAAATGTTTCGGAAAGAAGGTTGGATTGCCAATGGGGCATATTAAGCGGTAAGAATTTTTAGTGTAAAGAATTTTACAGGCTAGATGTAATTTTATGAGATGAGCTTCAATACTTTGGGGGCTAGCTTGAGACATTAATTACATGGCTTGAAACATAACATCGTCAAAAAGTTTTAAGACTTTAAAATCCCAAAGAATTGAACATATTTATCGAGGTCAAGTGCTTTAAAATAGTACATAAATTCATTTATATTTTTTTCTTTTGAACTTGGGAACATTCTCTGTTTGATTCTGAAAGTTACTCGAACTGTTGCTTTAGCTACATATTTCCTGACGGTGAATGGGTCGGAGTGGCTGACTCGAGATCCGAGGAGCACGGGTTCGAATCCCACCGCCGCTCGACTATTGTGGTGAACCCACTCGTAACACAAGCTCATTTAGCTTAACACGAGGGGCTAACGGGACTAATAGTAATTTGGGCAATACAAATTGCTAATAATCTTTAAAAAAAAAGTTATGAAATTTTTCTGACGCCTGAAATTTCTCTATCCAGGTTTAAAAAATTCAGGTTCTTTCTACAAATCCCTGTGAAATGCAAAGTACGTTCCCACTAAGCTAGTGTTACAACGCGTCGACGAGAGCGACCTCGCCTGTAATTTAGTTAGGGAATGCGGGATTAGGGCCTGGGCAGTGTCCGGGGTAGTTGTTGCATGAAATGTTGTTTGAGAGGATAATGTGGACTTTTATTGGGATGTACGGGAACTTTTATTGAGATTTTACTCGGAATTTTTGTTTGGATAGAAATGATAATTTCTTCAAAATATTCTTTGCTTAAAGTTTAGTTGAATGAAGTTTAAACCAGTTAAGAATATACAGTTCCTTCTTTGGTAGGTGCTTCTAAAAAGGATGATTCTCCTACTCACTTAAGGACAGTTGTAGTATTAGAGGAGTAGATTCAATTATTTTTATTTGGGCGCTTACCAAAGAATCATCGTGTATATTATCATCGTATTTATAAAGTACCTAAAATAGTGCTCTTTTATCTACTAAGCCGTCTTTAATATGAAATGTTCTTTTTAGAGCTACGTAGATTATTTTGCTACAAAAATCGTTTTACTTCAAAATGCCAGTCTACTTTCACTCCGAGAGCGCAGAGCGCATTACAAAAGCAATTGAAACGTAACGATAGCGATACCTCCAACCGTTCCCCCAAAATCTAAAATTCGAACAGGGAATCCAGGTTGGGAATTAGCTTGAATGAGCACAAAGGGCTCGGCCTGCCGACAACCTAGTTGGCGCCGCGCCAGCGCTGCAGCCTTGACCAGTCTGGCCTGCTCTGCCGAGTGATTTTGTGACACTCCAGAACTGGTGTGACGCAGGGAAAACTTGTTTATGAAGCCTACAGGCAAGAATCTTGTATGATACAGGGAAATAAGGCCTATAGGCAAGAATGGTAAAAGAAAAAGGCGTATGACACAGGAAAAAAAACAGGTTTTTCCTGTGTCATACGCCTTTTTCTTTTGAGCCTGGCCTGCCCTGCCGAGTGATTTTGTGACACTCCAGAAAAACTCGTGTGACGCAGGGAAAACTTGTTTATAAAGCCTACAGGCAAGAAAAACTATGTTAAAGGGAATATAAAGGGCAAATAATGCCTATAGGCAAGTACGCTCACAAGAAAAGGCGTGTAACCCAGCAAAACTTGTTTTATACAGATTACAAGCAAGAAGAAGTCTATGATACAGGGTAACTAAAGGAGGAGTAAAGCCTATGACCTATAGGAAAGTATGCTCACAAAAAATTTGGCTATGACACAGGAAACTTGTTTATGAAGCCTACAGGCAAGAAAATCTTGTATGATACAGGCAAATAAGACCTCACAAGAGAAGAGGCAAGAGGCAAGTATGCTCACAAAAAAATCTTGTACAACGTAGGAAAAACCTGTTTTACTTGTGTGACGTAGGGAAAACTTGTTTTATAAAGCCTATAACGCAAGGAAATCTTGTATTGTACAAGGAAATGAAAGGGCAAAAAAGCCTACAGGCAAGTACGCTCACAAGAAAAGGCATATGACACAGGAAATATTTGTTTTACAAAGCCTACAGACAAGTACGACTACCTACTCACTAGAAAACTGGTATGACGCTAGGAAAACAGCCTTCAGGCAAGTATGCTCTCTAAAAAATTGGTATGACGTAGGGAAAACTTGTTTTTATAAAGCCTTCAGGCATGTACGCTTACAGAAAAACTCGTATGACGCCAGGAAAAACTAGTTTTACAAGGTCTACAAGCATATACGCTCTCTGAAAAATTGGTATTATTCTAGAAATAAGCTAGCTCTCCGAAATATAGGTAGGAAGCCTAGATAGATAGCAACAAAACTGAGGAACTTCAAAATAGACGTACATTTATATACTAGCTTAGTTTTTCCCGTAGACAGTTGACAAAGTCCTATTTACCTCTAACCTATCTATTAAAAACTTTGTAAGATGACAAAGTCAAATACTTGTGAAGTCGTATGTATGGACTGCTATCTAGATGTTATTAAGCTTATCCAAGTTGCGGTGATACTTAAGACTCTGACTTTTGATTGATGGGAGTAATATTGGCAATACTCGTATATTCTAGACTTGATAAATACCTGCGTTCTAAAGAGTGATCGAAGCGAGTAAGATGCCAGAAGTGTAAGTAATGTAGTGTGATTTGGTTTTAGGAAAATATTTTCATTGTAATGGTTTAAGTTTGTGTAGTCTACTATACAAAATAAGTCGGGTTTTCCTTCCTGACGCTATAACTCCAGAACGCACAAACCGATTTCCACGGTTTTGCATTCGTAGGAAAGGTCTCGGGCTCCGTGAGGTTTATAGCAAAGAAAATTCAGCAAAAATTTAAAGGGGATAAATCGGGATCCACGCGTACGAAGTCGCGGGCGGCCGCTAGTATCATATAAAAATAACTAAATAATTTTCATTGTACCGATATAGAAGTGTAATCATTGTCTTCTTCTTTAAAATTAACGATAAAGCTCTCTAAATTCCAAAGAATTATTGTTTAAAACCAATAAAAAGTTTTAAACATTTTACGATCCAGCAAACTGATTGAGTTCAAACCACGCAACGTCCCGTTCGTTTCTATTTAGTGTTAGTATCAGAAGAGTTGGCAGCGAACTTTTAATGGGACGGAGTACGAATACTAACGTAGTTTTGGTCATTATTCGCCTCCAGTTAGTTTGGAACACGGAATGGTTAAATTTAAACCGAATATGAGGCTTAGGGGACACGTAAAGTGTGCATTTGCAAGTGGAACTTAAACGTACATCGGATTTGTGTACATCATAGTATATCTAAAGTAAAAGTGCACTTAGTAATTCAACTGAGTGCAGAAATTACAATGGAATAAAATGCCGTAGTCATCTCGTAGTTTGACTACGAAATATAAAAGAGTATTCGTAGTAATTTCGTAGCGTTGCTACGAAACAAACTCAAATGTAACCGTAGTAATTTCGTAGCAATACGAATTGCTACAGCAAAAACAAGTGAAAATGACTTACCGAGAAAATTCATGTTGGCTGCTTGCTTCTGTCACACAGGCCTACGCGTTACTACCCTAACTATCCTAACCCCATAACAACATTCGCGTATAAAAAATACTTTGTTCCTTAATGAATTGAGCACCAATTTTCTCTATATTACAAAATACATGATACGTATCGTTAACTAAGGACTAGAGATGAAAGAAGAAGGAGATCAAGAGATCGAGGAGCTATGGCATGGCGGCCGAGCGTGGCCCTACCCTGCCGGCTGCCGTCAAGGCAATGCTGGAAAATCTACTCGGACTCGGTATTTAAGCGCGCGTCATTTTTCCGCCTCCCTCTCTCGCCCTAGTTTTCTCATATTCCCGTCTCGCTCGCACTCGCGCCACTCAAGAGGGTGCAGAGCAAAATTGCCCGCGCATTGTCAGTCGGTAATAGGGATGGAAAAGTTGGTTCCCATCAAATTGCGCCCATAATAACGATTGTAATTATCATTATTGGGAAGCTCCGATTTTTCCCTTCGGGGACACCAATTTTCTTAGATTCAAGTTTTAAAACGGTCGCAAAGTAAATCGAAGTAGGCAAATTGCTCGGGTATTTCTTTGCGTGTGTGAAACAAAGGAGCTGAGTGGGCGTGGTCTGTTGTATGTGTGGGTGCATTAAATCTTTTATAGTTCGGTGCATTAAGTAATTTAGTACCTTGCATTTGACAATTCCGGTCGCCGATAGAACATTGTAGTTTTACTTTGGCGACATTTTATTCGTTTGGCGGTAATTTTTTCTTGTTACGCACAGTTGTTTGACTGGAAGTTATTTCTTTTTTATGCGGACTTTTTTGTAAGTAGGCTCTAAGTTCAGTATGTTAAGCACTTAAGTTATAGCTTGAGTTTAATTCTTAGACTCACGCATAGGAACAAACTTTGTGAGTGAAACGAAACTCAAGTAACTTTAGCAATTGAATAAGGTTAGGTTTAAATATTGAATGCCGTTGTAGTTTGTGTTAGTTTGAAAGTTCCAGGTTCGATTCTATAATAAGATATTGTAGTTTAGGTAGAACTAAACTACTTCCGTCTGCTCGTTTGCCTCCTATCACATAAAAAAAAAAAACTAGATAGCCTGAAAAGAAATATGACCTGTTGTGTTTGTTACTACAATTATGTGTTTCTGTCTACTTATTGTGGTACAATATTAATTGGGATCTATGACAATCACCTAGTATCACTTTACAAAGAATTCAAACACGAATTTTTAACCGACATCAACAAAAGGAGGAGGTTCTAAATTCGGTTGGTATTTTAAGAGTAGGCGCACAGCGTTGATTTTTAGATGACCGATAGTTGTGCCCGATTTTAAATTGTATGAAGAATCGGCCAAATCGAATCGGCGTAGTGTGCGCACTCCCATACATTCCCATACTGATCAACTGCCCGACTAAACTATCGGCCGACGAAAAATCAACGGTGTGCGCCTACTCTTACGCTAGGTTGATGTGACACAGTCTCGTTCATCGATTCCCATATTTTACGAAGCCTATAAAAGTCTATCAATAACGTGGTGGCCTAACTTTGTTCTGACCTTGATCCATTCTAGAATAGGTTTAGTCAACTGATACGATTTTGAAGAAAACGTCTCAAAAGTAAACCAATATTTGTGGACTAAGACTTTGGAATGATACATTTTATAAGGTAGGCTTTATAATTTCTCTCTTAAATTGATTTAAAGCAATACTTGATAGAATTAATAAAAATTATACATAGACAAGCTAATCAAATTAATTACAAAGTCGAACTTTATGTGATAAACTGAATTTCCGTTCGAAGCCGTGGGAAAAAGCTTGTGATATAATTTTACACTAAGTACGTTGCCGGCTTGCGTGGATGTCGTAGCTTTCAAGTTTATGTACAGCCAAAAGCACATAAGACTATATTTTTTTTCCCAAAATATGAGGTTTACTGACCTAATTTTATAAGATCTTACTGGAGATACACATGTGATGAAATAAGATCAGTGGTCGGCAACATGCGGCCTTTAGTAAGCCTTTAGGGTTAAAATCACAAGTGCGGTCCAACTTTAGTTTATTTTGCTGCCGTGTGGCCTTTGCTTTCCAAAAGGTTGCCAACCGCTGCAATAAATAAACAAATGAGTCTGTATATGTATATGAGATCTCTCACTGTATATCTTAATATGCTGTGTGTAAGACGCGTGAACATTAACCGGTCGCCACCCCACTTACACAGTTAGCGCCTTTAATATAATATTCAAATGAGCTGCACCCGCGTGCGTGGGGACGAATGAGAACGCTCTTCATTTGATGTACACTCGGCCGTGTTTAGCGTTTTATTGGAATAATTGGAGAGCTGTGTGTGCTGGTTAGGGAATTTAATTTCTGGGCTCTGAGTTCTAATTCTAGGCGTTTGGAAGATAGGCTTAATTTTAGACAGGATTTGAATACGTTTTTGCTGGTAAAAACTGAATTCATAATCTTGGCGTCAACTTTCAGAGGCGTCTGGCGTACGGCCTTTGAAAACTACATATAGGTAGGTATAGTTTAATAGAGTCAGTGCCTGAGGTATGACATTGACATATTATGACGTGACAGAGCATACAGATTTGAAAGAGTTCTGAAGTCTCGCTGACGTTTGACCGTTACAAAAACAGAGGGACTTACTCAGATAAACTTAGCGTTTATCTGAGTAGGTCCCTCTGTTTTTGTAACCTATAGTTTTAGTTCCAAAATATTGGGAGCATTTTAAATATTCTTGACGAATTTTGACAATCTTTTAATAACTTAATCGGGAGATTAAACAAAAAACATTGCAATAACAATCACAATGGACTATACCTACATTTGTTGGTATTTAGTCTGGTTTTATAAAGATTTGTATGGAAAATACGCTACGTTGTTGTACCGTAAATTATTTCTTACTGGGCTATATTTCAAGATGACGTGTTGGCATTTTTATGATGTATCGTTGAAAGTATGGGAATAATTGTAGCCTGAGGGAAGTTTATTAATTTGATGTAAATTTTTTGCTAAGTCTACAAACATACGGTTAAATCCAAATACACTGTTATGTGGATAGTTTTTGTTATATGTTGTGGACATAAACACAGTATTTGTAACTAATTGATTGCTTTTTGTCTGTTTTATATAACCCAGCCCATAATATGATACAATTAAGATGTTATCTACTAATGGAAGATAATTATAGCTTACTGATAAGACCACAGTGTGCAATTCTAACTTATTTATTGTTTTCAGTAATGTAATTATTTGAATATCATAACATGCTATTTGTTATTTCACTAAATTTATTGCCTTTAAAAACGAATTAACTAGTATCAAATGTATTTACTCATTGCAATAATGAACAAAGGAAGGGTTTTCATTGAAATGGTAAAAATTAAGAGCATTGCCCCTGAAAATATTATTTTTACAGTCACCTTTGACCCTAACTGGAATTATCGCACCATTCCCATTAAAGATAATCCAAAAAACACTTTCCCCGCCATACGTTCAGCGAAACGACTGCGCTAAAGTATTATACTTTTCATAAAACAACCGAGTACAGATGATTTCACTCCAGGCCCAATAAGTCGCGCCGCGCAAAGTATGCATTACTATAAAAATAAAAGTAGAAACCTCTTACGCCCGTTGTACTCCTAAAATTGTTCCTTCACACTGAAGCGGCGAAAAGTCCGTCTATCCTTTTTCTTCTCGTGTAAATCGGGATACGTTGTCTCTGTCTTAATGGAGGAGTAGTGAAAAGGCTTAAGTGATCTCGGAAAGGATTTGCGACGCGTGATTGAAATATTAAAAAAAAACTATTTTTTGTTCTTCATAGAAATTGCGAAAGTTCTGTAGGAATTGAGTTTTTTTGGACTACAATAAAGAAGATTTACTGTGAAAGTTTGCTAGACTCTATTTTATTTCTCACCGTTTCTAATGGTTTTTTCTTGCCAGTTTCCTTACCTGAAAACAAAGAAAAAATCATTAACAAAAATTATACATTATTATAACATAAATTATACATGTATTGTAACACATAATAATACATTGCAATAATACTTTATTTAGAATGCAACGCCATTCTATTATGTAGCAAGTAATAAAATTATTCGTAGTCAGTTCGTAGCGGTCATGACTACGAAATGAAACTCGTAGCTACGACCCGTGCTACGGTATAGCTTGACCGACTACGAGTATTTTGTGACGAGTTGCAAGTTAAGGTATTCAATAAAGTATGAAAATAGTAGGCATTATTAGAAAATGACCATATTATAACATACATTTTTATCCAAAATTGAAGAGATAAAAATGTGTGTAGATGCTTGATACTTTTGAACTATAATATTACGAGCCTCCATGCAAGCCTTGTAAAAGACCAGGCCACTTTTGACCTATGATGTTGAAATTGCATAAAATACCTTCTTTACTAATATTACAAAGTGGAAAGATTTCATTGTTTGTTTGAATTTGATAAGCTCCGAAACTACTGGACTAATTTGAAAAAATATTTCACTATCGAAACCCTACGTTATGCTTCATGAGCATAGGCTATAGAATATTTTCAAAAACGACAACCGAACTTAAACCTTTCACGTGACTTATAAAAGGAAATTGTATTCCATCCAGCCAATTCCAGATGCTCTGATTCCAGAAACCCCCGGCGATAAACCGGCCAGCACTCGGCCCTGATTTCATTTACAATTCATTTGATATACTTAGCGGCGCCTTTGATGGACGCGCCAGGGTTGCCACCTGGCATTTTTTATTTTAGAAGAAATGGATACCTTCATTTAAAATGTTCTGTTGTTTCTAGCTTTGGTTTTTTGATGGTGTCAATAATGTGTCGCGAAACCGTATATTCGTATTGTTTTACAATCATGGCAATACTTTTCGGGACTACTTTGAAGTTATGGTATGGTTTTATATCTGAGAAGTCAATATTATCATCATCAACATCATTTCAGCTGAGCATAGGCTTCTCCCAATGATTCCAGATTAGACAGACGACCTAATAAAGGTAGCAAGAAGGAGCTGGACGCAGAAATAAAGTCACATTTAAGTGTTCCATGGAAATTTTCCCTTGTAAGATCACATTTTTGCCCGTATATTAATCAACTAAGGGCCTTTTTCTCAGGCACGCGTCAAGTTAAAACTTAAAATTTTATTTTCCACAATAATCAAAAGATACAGGGAAAGATAGAAATTAAAGAATTAGTGAATGAAAAGCAAGAAATGGGCTACCTAAGTAAACTCCGACAAACGTTACTTCGACACTACTGAATATC